GGGGTGACTACAGTGGGCTTGGGGTGGCCTCCCTGCCCCAGGGGGGTGGCCTGAGGTAGGGATCCCCACATGGCCCCCCCACTGATGTCCACTCCTTCCCCTCCCAGGGCTTCTCCATGCAGGGCCAGTATAGTGGGGTCTCTCCTGCAGAGGTGAGTCTATCCCCATGGCAGCCCACCCCTGCTCCTTTGGGCACCGGGGCCGTGCCTGCCGGGATGGGCACTGCCAAGAATGCCTGTCCTGCGAGGCACTGGGTGCCAGCGTCCAGCCCCAGGAGGGGACAGGGCACCCTCTGCCATCACCCCTAACGCCTCCTTCCTCCTCCTCCCACTGCCCGGGCAGATGACGAAGCTGCAGCAGCTGTCAGGGCACACGCTCCCCTTCGCCTCCCTGGGCCACACACCCTCCATGGTGCCAGGTGAGCATCTCCCATGCCGCCCCCAGGGCTGAGGGTGTGGGGTGTTCCTCCTGGCCCACCCAGCCACCTGGCCCTGATGAGAGGGTCCCTGTCCCCTGCACCCTGTCCAGTCCCAGCACCCCCAGCATGGCTACCTGCCCCCTAGAACGACCCTGTCCTTGATTTCCTGGGGCCCTGCAGCCACCAGAGCCCCCAACCTTGCAGTGGGGGAGCACTGGCACCAAATTGCCACTGGTGCCTATGTCCTGTCCTCCCTGCCTCTCCCCAGGGATCCTTCAGGTTTGTCTCTGGGGCCACTTACTGTCACAGCACAGGGCTGGGGTGGAGACACAGAGCTGCTGGAGACCTGTCCCCCCCTACCACTAATGTCTCTGTCTCTCCCTTCAGGCCTGGACACAAGCTCCCAGAGCAGCTCACAGGAGTTCCTGGTGCCCAACGACGTACGTGTGGGTCCCGGGGATGGTGAGGGGTACCACAGCTTGCTCCCACCCATGTGTCTCACCCTACAGCCAGGGGGTGTAGCCACTACCCCGCACAGGGGAGGCTCTGCCTCTGCTGCCAGAGCTCAGGAGCAGGAGGGGCTGCTGAGACAGATGCAACTGGAAGAAAGGGAAACTGAGGCATGGGAGGGGGGAAAAAAGGCTTGGCCAACACCAAGGAAGAGCCTTGGGATGTGGCAGCCCAGTGATGCCAGCCAGGGGGGTCCTGAGTAAGACCAAAAAGCAGGGTCTGTCCAAGGAAAGCAGCGCCCTGCCCTCCCAGAGCCT